CGCAGGCTGGGACCCAGCCGCCTCTTCTCCGGGCGCCCCGCCTGCCCCTGGGTGTGGACTGGTGCGCGCAGCCTCTGGGGAGAAGCCAGTTTTACTTTGTGGTCGCACTGTAAGGTCCTTAGGTAAATGAGCTCCAACAGATTTTATTTTTGTTTTCTCCATGTTAACTTTTTTTGGGGGGGTTATTGTTTACATTTAGGTCGCTTGTACGTAAACAAGATCTCACAGCATGTTGTTTTCAGGCTGTTTTTAAAAACTTAACCTGTCTTTCTTTGTAGGTGCACAAAAGCGTTCCTCTATTTCATTTATGTACCCACTGTTTCTAGCAAAGGACAGGAGTGGTCGTTCATTTGTCACCATTACAAATAAAACTGCAATGAACATTCTCTTTTGCTTTTTGTTTTTTGGAGACAGGGTCTCTTTATGGAGTTCTGGCTGGCCTGAAGTTCACTATGCAGCACAGGCTGGCCTTGAGCTCCGGGAAGTCCTCCCTGCTCAACCTCCACAGGTGTGGGCCACTACATCCAGCTGCAGTGAACATTCTTACACACAAATTTATGTGCACAGATGTGTGCAGAGCTTTTCCGAAGGGTGTATTTCTAAAAGTGGAGTTTCTGGATAGAAGAGCATATAGAGTTTTTAAAAAAATTTTTTTTTTCAAATAGTTTTGCTATGTAGTTCAGGCTGGCCTGCAAGACAGGCTGTCCGTGAACTCACAGCAGTCCTCCAGCCTCAGCCTCCTGAGTGCTGGGATCACATGTGTGCACCACCATGCCCGGCTACAGTTCAATTTTATTTTATTTTTTGAGAGGGCCTCATTATATGGTGAAGGCTGGCCTTGAATTCACTATATATTTCAGGCTGGCCTCAAACTCACGGCCATCCTCCTGCATCAGCCTCCCGAGTGCTAGAATTACAGGCTTGTGCCATCACGCCTTGCTACAGTTCAATTTTTAATAAACAATGCTGTCAAGTTTCTCTCTGCAAATTCTATTCTAATTTATATAGTCACCATTATACTACTCAGCAACCCTGGACAAGGTCATTTTAAAAATCATATGCAGAAAAAAAAAACTGTGTCATTTTTAAATTGCATTGTCCTGATTTACCTGCTGTAAATGTTCTTTGCCTATTGATTATTTCGGTCTTTGGGGAAGTTTTTTTCTTGAGGCATAAAAACATACAGAAAATATATAAATCATGAGCTCAATAAATTAATTATTCTTCCTCGGGTGAGTTCTTTATCGTGACTACCACCCAGATCAAGAGAGGCAATATCAGGGCCAGGGGTTTAGCTCAGTGGTTCTGCTTCCTGCCTTGCAAGCACAAGGACCTGAATTCAATCCGTGGGACTGAAAAAAGAAAGACAATATCAGACCTTTTCCTGCCTCTCCAAAGCAATCACTATCCTGACATCTGACCCCTACAGTTTAGTCATGTCTGTTTTTGACCTTTACAGAAGTGGAATCATATAAATGTGCATCACATCTGGCTTCCTTCATTTGAGGTAACATTCATGAGTCATTCAAACACTTGCTGTAATATGTTCATTTGCATTGCTTATTATATCCCATTATGTGAACAGGCCACCATCTACTTACTGATGGACATCGGGTTGTTTCCAGCTTTGAGCTATTAACTGTTAATGGTGCTTGATTCTTGTGCATGCGTTTAGAATGCATGTGCAGATTTAGTATTTCTGTTGCGTGTGGATTTGCCGGTCAGGAGCAATGTTGTTTCAGCGTCACCAACTGGGTTTTGCAAAGCCTCTGTGAATATTCTTTGCACATTTATTGTGTTGATTTGCACGGGTTCTATTTATTCTGAGTATGAATTCTGTTGTACTTGCTGGAGATATTTCCCCTGTCTTTGTTTACAATGCCCTTTATTTCAGAAAGTTTAAAATTTCTATGTAGTTAAATCTATAACTCATTT